GGCCCAGGGCAGTTCAGGAGGGCCTCCGAAACTGCCCTCGGCCGCGGCAGTGGGTGCCAGGCTGAGGCCCGCAGGGACACGGCGAGTCATTTTTTTTTTCTCATTTTTTCACCCAAAAAAAGGGGGAGGCATTGAGGCAGAGGGCAAGGACGTCTGCTTTAAAGTGAGGTTGTGGGCGTCAACATCCACAATTTTGTGTTGTCGCCCACATTCCTGTTGAGGCTGTTGTCGCCCATGCAACAGTGCTCGTGGACGTTGTTGACGGCATGACAGACACACACACACACACACACACACACACACACACACACACACACACACAAAGAGAGAGAGAGAGAGAGAGAGAGAGAGAGAGAGAAGCTTCGAGGGAGAGAGAGGAAGGGAGGGAGAGACAGAGACAATGACGACGCGGAGGGCTGCGGATGAGACGGAAGAGGGACGACGACGAGCGTGCGACAACGACGAGGCGGCGACGCGACAGGACGGCGCGTTAACGTACGCACCGTACGTACGGACGTGTTCCGAACAGACGACTAGTACGTACGGGGGTTTCCATCCGTACGCGCCGTATGAATAAACGACGGGCGCGCGCTCTTGTGCAAGACTTCGGCGCGCGCTGAGAGAGAGAGAGAGAGAGAGAGAGAGAGAGACAGAGAGACAGGAGGAGGAGGTGAGTTTCCTCTTCTTCTTCTACTTCTACTTCTTCCTCTTCTTTTTCTACTTTTTCTTCTACTTCTACTTCATCCTTCATCTTCTGCTTCTACTTCATCCTCTTCTTTTTCTTCTTCCTCTTCTTCTTCTTTTATTTCTATTTCTTCTTCTTATTATTATTTCGTCGTGCATTCTTCTTGTTCTTCTTCTTGTACTTCCTCTTACTCTTGTTCTTCTTGTTCTTCTTCTTCTTCTTCTTCTTGTTTCGCGTTTGTTTTATATTTTTACCCTTCACCGTGCTTTCCTTTTCTTCTTATTCTTCTTCTTCTTCTAGACTTCTTCTTCTTCTTCTTCTAGACTTCTTCTTGTGTGAGAGAGAGAGAGAGAGAGAGAGAAAGAGAGATTGGTTTATTCTTCGTTTTGTGTGTGTGTGTGTGTGTGTGTGTGTGCATGAGGCAGAGAGAGACGGGAGAAAGAGAGAGAGAGAGAGAGAGAGAGAGAGAGAGAGATAGAGAGAGGGAGAGAGAGAGAGAGGGAGAGAGAGAGAGAGAGATCCGACCGACGCTGGCGGTGAACATGACGACGACGGTTCCGGAGACGGCGGCGGCGGCGCGACCAAGGGGAGCGGCCAACTTTCCGGGAGGGCACGCGGCGCAGCGGCGGCGGACGCCACGCACACGCGCCCGTACGTACGGCCCGTATGAGCGTACGTATGCAGTGTCCCGTACGTACGGCCCGTACGCCTAAACGGGCCGGTGGTTGGGCCGTGCTCGCCGACAGGGTTTTCGAGTGCCGGGCCTGTTTAGGGGGGGGGGGGGGGGGAAGGGGGACAGGCCTGGGCAGGACGGGCTTTGGCGCTGTCCACTGAGCTCCACTCCGGCATCTGTGGGCGGTGGGCTACCTGCAAGGCTACAATGGCGCCCAAAAAAGGGAGGGGAGATCAGCCATTCGTTCCGGTTAGTAAAGACAACCAGAGGGAGGCGGAGCTGAAGTTTTGTGACTTTAAGTGGGTTAGGAAGAAGCAGACAATGCCGAATTCGAATGGCAATTTCCTCATGGAGTGCAAGATGTGTCGTCACGGTTTTCAGGGGAGCCAGACGAAAGTTGCACAGCACTTCACGATCAAGAACAATTGCGCCAAAATCTCCGTGGAGCAGATGGCGGAGATATGAAACAAGACAAAGTACGGGTTCGATCCAAGCCATGCACGGAAGATCGTGGACTTTCTGAAGTCTCGTGGGTTGCGAGACAACAGATGTGGATCGGGGAGGGAGCCGGCGGGGAATGAGGAGTTTGAGGACAGCGAGGAGGAGAGGAGGGCGGTCGAGGGTGGAGATGATGATGGTGAGAGTGATGCAGAGGACATGGAGGTGCAGCGAGAGGTGGAGCGCGCCAGGGGAAAGCTGAGGAAGGAGAAGGTCGTTGACGAGGACAGCACCCCTGACGAGGACGCCGACGACGATGAAGGAGGTGGCGGGATCGAAGAAGAGAAAGAGGAAGGCGAAGATGACTACCACTGAGGCGAGATCAGCACCTTCACAACCCAAAAAGAGCCGAGTTCTTCGACAGACGTCCATGCTGGAGACCTTCGATCCAGTGTGGCAACAAGAATTCTCGGACTCCATCCTGCAGTGGTGGTACGTGAGCGGCATCCCATTCGAGGCGCCGAGGAGGCCAGCGTATCATAGGATGAGGAAGAAGTTGCTCGAGTGTCCGCCGTATGATCATCCGGCATTACCCACGCACCGTGTCATTTCGTGCGAAGGCATCCCTCCGCAGCAGCGAGTTGTGGTGGACATGGTGGCGGCCATCCGCAGGGACATGGAGGCGACGAGAGCGACCATCCTCACGGATGGTCGCAAGTCCATCACGAGCGACCAAATAGTCAACTTCCTTGCTACTGGTCCCACGGGCGCGTACCTTTTCAGGATTGTGCAGTGGGATGGTGCTGTTCAGGAGACAACAGAGGCCGTAATAGAGCGATGGAAGGACGTGTTCAACAAGTTTGGTGTCGACAAGGTGAATGTCATTTGTACTGATTCCGCGTCTGCGTGTGTTGCTGCGTCCAAGCTCCTCGCCCAGGAGGAAGTCAAGTACAGCCGCATCACTTGGCTTTCGTGTGCGGTCCATGTCTGCAACTTGTTGTTGTCAGACATCGCGAAGGATGGGCGCGACGGGAGCCTCGGGAAGAGGGAGGACACCATCATCAGGGCTCGAGCTGTCGTGCATTTCATCAGAGAGCACGGGGCGGATCTGAGCCTTTATCGACGGTTCTCTGCCGCCCACCTCTCTTCCGCCTCCGCGGCGGCTGGTGGTTCGAGCTCTGCGCCACCCTCGTCTCTGCGGCGAGGCAGGGAGCTTGTGTACCCTATGCAGATGAGGTTTGCCACCCACTATTTGATGCTGGAGAGGCTGCTGGATCGTCGCAGAGCGTTGGAGGCGTTGATGATGAGCGACGATTGGCTGCGGACTACATGGAGGACGTCCATTTTTCTGCAAGCCAGATGGGTCCGTCATCAGGTGCAGTACGCGCCATTCTGGGAGCACGTGGAGGACATCGTGGCGCTCATGATGCCTGTGATGCAGTTGCTACGGCGTCCGGACAGGGGGGGTCGCGTGATGACTCGCATGTGGTCGTGGGGTTTTGTCATGGTCGACAGGGTGGCGAGAGCAAGCCTTAACAGGACGTCGAAGGACGAGCTCCACATCGTTGTTCAGGCTTGCCAGGCGCGGGTCGGTCATATGTTGGAGCCCACACATTGTATGGCCCACCTTCTCAATCCGCGGCAGAGGAGCATTACTTTTTTTGGAGCGGCAAGGCGTACCGACCACGAGCGGATACTGGCAGACGATTCGTTGCGATACCTTCGCCAGCAGATTGGTGGTGACGAGGATTTGTATCAGACGTTGCGCACACAGCTGCCGGAGTTTCATTCTCGGGAGGGCGATTGGACGTATGGAGGAGCCGAGGGAGACAGGGATGCGGCCGCCTGCAAAGGGGAGAAGGAGACGTTACAGGTGGGGCAGTGGTGGGTTCAGCACGGGGATGGGGTCCCTCTCCTTCAGAGCATCGCCATTCGCTTGTCGCACATATGGACGTGCGCCTCTCCGGCAGAGAGGAATTGGGCCGTCCATGAGCGTGTTCAGGTGAAGARGCGTAATCAACTTGGTTTCATCAAGCTGACTCGTTTGGTGGAGATATCCACCAACTTGAGATTGAGTCGTTGTCAGGGGAGGGGTTCTAGGTACGTTCTTCCATGGGAAGACGCTGAGGAGGAGACAGAGGACGCTATTTCTCCGCCTCGTGATGAGGGTGTTCGGCCGGCTGACCGAGTCACCGAGGCACAGCGCAACCGGCAGGTCCAGCGCGGGCGGAAGGATCGCCTTTCAAAGGCACCTCCGAGCGTCACGACGTATTTCGGTCGTCGCGCCATGGTGCTCATGGCGCATGAGTTGGAGTCGGTGTAGGATCCCGAGCCTGATCCCATGGCTCAGGAAGCGATGGAGGCCGAGCCGTGGTCCGATCCGGACGACCTGGCCGTGGAGTCAGAGCCAGGAGGTTCCGATGACGATGACGATGACACTCCTCTCATCCAGATTCCGCGTCCTCGCACACGTGCGTCCACGGCGGCCGCTGCACCGTCTCCCGCAGCACGCCCTCCTTCGAGTGCTCCCGACGTCTCACAGCCAGGCCCGACGGACCGTGTCGAGAGCAGTACGCCACACCCTTCGACCGATCGTCGTGGACAGGGAGGGACTCGCGAGCGTGTCGACGAGGGAGACAACGACGATGAAGACGAAAGCGAGGCATATGAGGGCAGCAGTGAGGATGAGAATGATCCCTGTTATTCCCCGACACGCGGACATGGTGACGACGACGACGAAGAGGGCGGCGACGGTGGACGGGCTGGGGGTGGTTTGCGGACGTCCGAGAGACAGCGTGGCGACCGATGCAATGGTGCGGGCAGGGGAGGCAGCGCGCCGGGTGTTGGGGGTCCAGGGCGCACAGGTGGTGCAGGGCGTGCTGGCACAGGAAAAGTAAGGCGAGAGTCTGCATCGTCCACTCGCACTGTGCATTGGGTTGATGAGGAGAGGCCTGCTGAGGCAGCTGTGGTTGCTCCCTCCCCTGCAGAGTTCGCTGCGGCATCTGCGGAGGGCGCAGCGGCATCTGCGGAGGGTCCAGGCGGGTTTGCGGGTGGTATTGGCGATGCTGGAGAGGTTGGGAGGCCATCTGCACAGGTGGGTGTGAGTTTCAGCGATAACTTTTGTGATGTTTCGTTAGGGCATCCTCCGACACCGGCAGGGGAGCGTGTCGGTGTCGATGTGGACGCAGCGGCGACGCCCATCAGTCAGATACTTCGTGACATACCTTCATGCAGCAAGGGCGACATCAGTAGTAGCATGTTGCAGGAGGCAGTAGAGGGGGCACCGGGTCGGTCGGGGCAGCACAAGCGCGCAGCTGGGGATGATGGGGAGTGTCGACCTGTGCAGGAGCGGGCGACAGAGTCAGAGCAAGACAGGATCGACCGCGAGGAGAGGAGGAGGGCGCAGGGGGTTGGCTAGACGCAGAGTGTTGCATTGAGGGCACGTGTAGCACGGATGCTCGAGACGGGCGTTGAGGCAGGTAATGCAGAGGGCGAGTGTGGCGCTGTGGGCATAGGGGATGCGGGCGAGAGACCTGCATCGCCAGTTCAGGGTGTTTGTGTATTGCCTCTCGGTGGGGCCATGTCGGCGGGGGAGTTGGAGCAGCAGGCACAGGAGGACCCGTTGCTGGCAGATCGCCGGGGGCGGATGACCGAGGCATCGAGGCGACTGATGGCAGAGGCCACGGCTTACGTGCCTTGCAGCCCGTCAGTGCCATCGTCCACCACAGGTGTCAGCACACCCGCATATGTGGAGGGCACAGTCGCGGCAGATGCGGTACGGGACCCCTCGCCGACACCCGGCGGGGAGTCTCCTTCTCCTTAGTCACAGAAGAAGAAGATGAGAGCAGGGAAAACTCTTAGTACTGTGAGGAGAGTGACGCAAACGATGTGGGTGAGTCAGCCTGGGTGGGCCGATTTACACTCGCGGACACAGGCGATTTTGAGCGGGGACGTTGTCGCAGACGCAGCAGGATGGCAGGAGAGGGTCTCCGACCGAGCGACGGACCAACCCATGAGCGCACCTGCTGAGGCGACATTGCCACATACTGCAGGGCGTACAGTGGGCTCCGGCGACCACGTCGAGCATAGTGCGCCCCCCGGGAGGAGCATGGCTGCACGTACATTGCGGGAGGATGTGAGGGCAGTGACAGCGCAGCGACCGTCACAGGCGCCAGTCGTTTGGGAGTCTGGCACAGACGATTTGGAGATGCCTTATGGCCAGCGGAGGAGGGTTTTCGTATACGATCTTCTTCGACCACAGGGAGGGGTTGAGGCGGCGCCACAAGGGGAGATTCATGCTCCGGATACTACGCACGCGCCGGCAGGCGGCACAGGTCGTGGGGATGGTGTGACAGGTGTGGTGCCGCAGAGGAGGAGGAAGGACATTGTGGACGACGATGATGCATAGTTCCACCATTAGTCTTCTTTCATCCTCTGATTCGTAGTAGTGTACAGTATATTTAGTGCTTGAGACGAGGCCTTGTGTTAGTAGGAGTAGTTTGTAGTGCTTGAGACGCGGCCTTGTGTTCGTAGGAGTGGTCTGTGCAGGTCGTCATGACTGCATTTGTATTTGTATAGGTGGTTAGACTATTGTATACTATTTCCATGCACGGGTGCAGTTTGTTTTTGTTTCTTGTTTTATTTTATCATCGATGTTGTACAGGATTGCACTTTTTTGAGTATTTCTTCAGACACGGGCTCAGCAGGTGCAGTGCTCACAGTTTCATTTTTTGTTTCTCCTGTTATTTTTTTATCGATGTTTCTGACGATTCGACAGTTCTTTCGCACACCATTTGACTTAGTCCAGCGTGCATGTGTCTTTTATTGTTGTGTGTGTACGGCGTAACTGTTTTACCGTGTTCTTTCGTTTGCCTGCAATGTTACACTTTCAAAACTTGTGCAATGATTGTTTCTTGCAGACTTGCAGATGATAGAGAATGACTCAATGAGTGTGAAAAATTGTGTTTATACTTTCAGTCTTGTACTTGTTTCGTCGTGTGTGTAGTTCACCTCTGTTGCATTTGTCAGCCACCCCGACAAAACCCTCCCCAACCCCCAAAC